AGTTTATGAAGCTCCCCAGGTGATTCCAGTGTGCAACCAAGGTTGAGGGCTGCTGAAAGTCCAGGGAAAATTGTTTCTGGATAAATGTATGTGCATTTTCTGGGAAAGCTAAGATGTCTATGGCACCTTCTGCCTTCCCTCCCTCCCCTCCCCCCAGAAAAGGCTCAGGGACTGGTCTAAGATAATAAATAAGCAGGAAGAATTTACCAATTATTAAGGAAACACCAAATGTGTGTGTTAACTAAATAAATAGGCATTAATATGCAGAGCAGGGAAAGTGTCTATAGGTGCTTCACAAGTGAAGAGGACCTCCGGAGTGTTCTGGTTGGTGGGATGGGAGAATCCCTACCTCTCCCAATTAGCCAGGAAAACCATGTGATTTCAGATGCTGCCACTCTAGGGGTCTGATCACATCCCTTAACTCCCCCCACCACAGAACCAAGCTTTGGCTGAACCACAACATCCTGGTTCTTCCGTGACCTTGCTCCAGCCATCCTTTCTAGCTCCTCTCCCTCACTTCTTCATACACCCTAGCCCCAGGAGGATGCTCACTGTCCAGTTTTTAGACACTGTGCCTTTGCTTCTGTTCTTTCCCAGGTTCCTCCCACTCTGCCTGTCTTGGGGTGGACCGTGGGGGAAGGAAGGTTGAAGAGACAGAATGGCTGCAGGCATGTTTCCTGAAGGTGCTCAGTTCATATTTGTCAAAGTCAGTAGGGCAGCCACCTTAGGAGCTCCTGCTTGGGGGGTTGGAGGGATGATTTGCAGAGATTCAGAAGCTCTGGCCTTCAAGAGACTTAGATGCCAGTGGGGGGAGGCAGACCAGTGAGAAGCGCAGGGAAGCATAATAGGTGCTCTGAGAGGAATATGTGGAGAGTACATGTCGGGTGGGAGGGTGAGTCAGGAGAGACTTCATCCAGAAAGGGACTGATACCCAGCGGGCCCCAGTGAAAAGAGATGGGACTGAATTAGGAGGCTGAGGCTAGATTATGGAGGGCACTGAATGCCAACCTGAGGACACCCACCACATAGATTGAACCCAGTTGGTGCCCCCAGGTCTTGCCAGCTTTTATTCTTGCTCCCTCAGGAAGTCTTTGCTGTAATACCAATCTGTTGAGGCATAGGACCTAATTGTGAGGCTGTGTCATCTGCCTGGAGGTGTCTATGCTTGGGAAGGCGCCAGCTTTTTGCAGGGAGCCCCGGCCATCTCCTGTAGAGTCTCCTTCCCCACCCCGCCCACGTTCCCAGGCCCCTGGAACAAGTCGCTGACCCTGTAGATAAGAATAGTGGCTGTACTTCCCAACCATAAGTCAGGTGGGACATAGGTATGAGAGTGCGCTGGGCAATGGGCAGTCAGGGACCTCCTGGAACAGGAGAGGAGGGGAATAGCTTCTGGATCTGGGGTTTGAATCCCAATGCTAAGCGCTGGGAATGCAGTATTAACTGATGTAACACAGACACTGTGTCTAAAGCTCTGTGAGAGTAGATGTTCAATAAATGTTCTCCTCCATCTGCTTTCCTGGGCTGACAATCCAGGTGAAACAGCTGTACCTTTCCCCCACTCAACACCTCCCCCCACACCGAAGAGATGCATACCCCTCTTCTAAGGCCTTCACCCCTTCCGCTTGGGCTGCCAGGATTCTCTAATTATTCTGCACTTTAATAAGGCACAGAGGGCTCATTATGTAAATTCAGGCAAAAAAAAAAAAAACAACAAACCCACCCCAAAACCCAAATCATGAATTGCATCTGTATTAATAAACATTTTAATTAACACTTACCAACTGCCAACAAAGTGTTAGATGTAAATAACAGGTGGATGCAGGTTGAAGTAATGAGACTAGAAAGCTGCTGCTTCCTTTCTACTCCATCCAGGAATTTCAAGAAATAGTTCTTATGCTATCTCTTTTTATTTATTTTTTAATTTTTTAATTTTTTAAGTAGGCTTCATGCCTAGTGCAAAGCCCAATGTGGGGCTCAAACTCATGACCGTGAGATCAAGACCTGAGGGGAGATCAAGAGTCAGATGCTCAACCACCTGAGCCACCCAGGCACCCTGATATTTCTTTCTAAAAATTTTTTTACTTGTTTAAATAATTTCTACATCTAATGTGGGGTTTGAACTCATGACTCGGAGATCAAGATTCACATGCTTTTCCAACTGAGCCAGCCAGGTGCCCCCTGCTATCTCTTTTTAAAAACAAGCTTATAGGGGCGCCTGGGTGGCTTAGTGAAGTGTCTGATTCTTGATTTCAGCTCATGTCATGATCTCAGGGCCCTGACTTCAGGGTTGTGAGACTGAGCCCTGCATCAGGCTCCGTGCTGGGCATGGAGCCTGCTTACGATTCTCTCTCACTCTTGGCCCTTCCTGCTCAGTGCACACACTCTCTCTCTAAAAAAAAAAACAAAAGCCCGAATCCCCCCACAAGCTTATAAGTTCTCCTGAACCCCGAACTACAAGTATACACTTATCGTTTGCCATTTAAACTTGTTTATTAATAATTTAACATTTCTATGGTGCCGCTCATCTCAGATTCATTTATTCAGTTCATTCAGCAGCTAGTCAACATGTGTGGTAGGCACTGTTCTAGGCACCAGGATAGAGCAGTGAGTGAATAAGACAAAGTTCCTGATCTTAGGAACTTTACATTGTGGTGGGCAAAGACCGATAATAAGGAAATCAACAAATACACACACAAAATATTCAGTGGTGAGAAGTGATGTAGAAAAATATAAAGTGAAGTAAGGAGAATAGGGAAAGAGAGAGTGAGTGTGTGTGTGTTGCTTTCCTCTGTGGCCAGGGAAGGCTTCACTGATTAGGTGACATTTGAATGATAGAATTTACTGATTGATTACATATAGGCCATGAGAGAAAGAGGTGTCAAGTTGGCTCCCGGGCTTTTTACTTGAGCAACTGAAAAAATGGAATTGCCACACACTGGTATGGGGGAAGCCTTAGGGATACAGAGCAAGTTTGGGAATTTGATTTTGGACATGTGCTGTCAAGTAGGCAGTTAAATATGCCAATCTGGAATCCAGAGGAAAGGTTGAGACTGGAGATATAAATTTAGAAATCTTCAGCCTCTAGATTTTTCAAAACCCAAACTAGCTGTGACCACCAAAGGAAGGAGTGTGGACAGGGAAGAGATCCAAGGACTGAGCCCTGGGCAGGCCTCCACTGAAGGGTAGGTGAGGTGAAAACAGAGAAAGAATTGCTGATGAGGAAGAACCAAGAGAGTGGCTACCTGGACACCAGGTGAAGAAAAGTTTTCAGGGAGGAGTGAGCCACTGTGTAAAATAATACTGATCGATGCTGAGGAACATAAGGCTCAAGAATTGACCATGGGGCTTGGTGCCGAAGGGATCACTGGGGCCCTCACCAGAGTGGCTTCTATGGAAAGGAGGAAGGAGGGAGGCAAACGTTTGATGCCAGATTCTGAGAGAGAGAAAGATGTTGTCTTAATTCATTGATTGGATACTGTTTTTGAAGAAACCAGCTAGAAAAGACAATTTGAATATGGACTAGATATTAGGAAACTATTGTTAATTTTTTTAGGAGTGAAAATAGTATTATAGTTATAATCTTAGTCTTGGCAGATACCTACTTAAATGTGTAGGGGTGAAGGGTTGTGATATCTGCGATTCAATTTCACAGCTTAGCAAAAAAATGTATATAAAATATACTTATTTATTCAGAATACATAGCAGAATGTCAGCATTTGTTGAATTGGGCATATGGTGTGTTCATTGCACTATCCTTTTAAGTTTTTGATATGTTTGTAATGTTATAGAAAACTTGGGGAAAATACAGACTCTGGGCCTCACTGGTGGCAAATGGATTTTTTAAAAGACCACAGGCGACTCTGATATACCATCAGGATGAGAACCACTGATCCAATGCTCCACTGAGCATGAAACTGAGGTGTGAATAGTTGAAAGACTTTCCGAAAGACAGAACAAAGGCTAAAATTCATGTTTCTTGGCTTCCAGTCCTATGTACTTTTCTTGTATATCCTCTAAAGGAATTTCTTAGATAAGAAACCTGACCTTGAACACCTAAAACTCTTTGTCAGCAGATGAATTGCACAAGGTAAAGGATTTGGGCCCTTAGAGGGTGCTCAATTGTTAAGAGTCAGGTTATTAGAAGACCGAAAATCATTAGAGGGTTAAAAAACCGTAAGGAACTAAGGGCAAGGACTGTCCTAATTTAACAAAATGAATTGTATTGAAGAGTTCAATAATTTTTTAAATAATTTTATTACTTTTTGTGAAGATAATCCATGAGATTGAATTTTATTTCACATGTTTGTAAGATTTAATATATAGACAAAATCATAGATTAGGAAAGAATTCGAAAGTCCTATTATTAGTTGGGAAATGAGGTTACAGATGAAGTTCTTGGTGTTGAAAGAGCCCAGGTTCCTTGCAGAGAGACATGAAGAATTGAAGAGGCACATTAGTAGTAGGTCCCAGTGTAGTGGGAAAGGCATGAGTCTTGGCAGTCAGACAAGGCCTGGGTTGGAATTCTGACTCTGCCATTGACTAGTTTTGTGACATTAGGCTAGTTATGTGAGTGCCCCGCATCTGTTATTCAGCCCCTCTTGCAGGCACTAGTTGCTCGGATATAGCAGTTAACACAAGATACACAAGGTGCTGCTCTCCTAGAAATCCAACAGGTAATTAAGGAATGGGGGATACTCAGATGGGGGTTCTAACTCCAAAGGGACTGAAAGCAGCTCTCAACCAGGTGGAGATGAAGTTGGACCGGGAGAGGCAAAAGAAGGCAACATTTTAAGGAACTGTGGGGGAGTCTAGTAGCCTGGAGCGGCTGAGAAACACATACAGTTCCTGTGACTTTAATGAAGGTGATGGCGATTATTTAGTGAAACAAGTATGCAAAGACCTAACTCTGACCCAGAAGTAAGAGGCAGGGCTTGGGGCGTGAACCTGAGCGCTTTAAATTCTCTCTGCCAGGGAAGGGGACTCCAACCTCCAGCACAAAAGTAAAACGCCTAGCCTCTGAAGAACCCAAGACAGAGGGGGCGTCGGGACTGGAGGCTTATGCGGGGGGCGTGGCTTCAGGCAGCTACCGACGTCCTCTTCCGGAACAGGCCTGTGCCCCGGAAGCAGTTGTTTGCTGAGAGTCTTTGGTCCCGTTTAGGAGACTGCGTGGGTGTTGTCACCATGTTCCTGTCCGCGGTCACTTGTAAGTGGGGTTGGAGGCGGCGGCAGGGCCTGCGGCGAGGGCGGGAGGAAGGCATCGGGACGGTGCGGGGCCGGGGGCGCGCGTCGGCCGGGAAGCTGCCGCTGCGACTCTCCAGGCCTTCTGGACTACAGCGTCCGGCATGCCTCGCGGCGCACGGCTTTGCGGGGCGAGTGGTGCTTGGGGTTCTGCGGCACTAGTTCTCCGTCCCGTTGCGGTCCGAGACGGGCAGTCGAGGCTGGTCAGCGGTAGTGGGGCGCTTTCCCCCGTCCTCCGTACGGATGTGGTAGCACAGTCCCTGCACGTCCTAACTGGGAAAAAAAAACCCTCAGAATTTTTAGTGCACTCGTTTCGAACTCTGAAGATGAGGAAATGGCTTGAGAAGGGCAGTGACTTACCTAAGTCAGTACAGCTGGGCTGGGAAGGAAGTGTCTGGCTCCCCAAGGCCGCGCTCTTCCCTGCACCAGGCCAACTTCTAGGTTAGTTTCCCTCCTCCACCTGATGTGATGGTTGTTGGCGGTGCATAGGTTAACTTGTCAGACCAGTGGCTTGTTCCAGTGCAATTTTTGCACCTTAGAAGAGGAACATGTGGAGCAGATCTTAGATTTGAAAAGTAACCGGTCCAACTGAAAAGAGATTGTACAAAGCATTACATCCAGAATTGTGTTGGTCTTATTGGATCTTTGTCTTCTTTCTAGAATCCTAGCGGGATCCCCACAAGCTAGGGAGTAGTTACTTGAGCGACAACCCATGGCATACTTGGTCACTTACATATTTATTACAGACATTTATATAAACTTTGCATAAGAAAGATAACAAGTTGCTATTTTCTTTTCTCTTTCAACCTTTCTGCGAGAAAGTTGCCAAGAGCAAGTCAAAGTAAGTAAGGTTTTTCTTTTTTTTTTAACTTGTTTATGTTTGGTTTGTTTTTCCAGCCGCTGCCAATACATCCTTTTGTTAAACTAAGCATTTGGTCTCGATTTTCTGAAGGTTGGTTTGAGGATTACTTACTTGATGAATTGTTTTGGTTCTGTGAACTCTTTCAAAAAAATTTTCCCTCCTGCCCAACTGACCTATTTAAGTGAGTGTTCAAATAATTGAAGGAGCTCTTGCTGTCTTGCTCCTAAACAAACCATCAAGGTTCCCATGCTCTCTTTGGACTACCATCATATTTCTGTTTCCTCAGAGGGAGCACTGAGGGCCATTTGTCTGGAGTCCAGTACGGGAATCTGACTGAACAAGCTGTGATTTGATTGAACTACAGAGTCAGTTTTAATGAGTTTTGTAATCCTTTGCATTCATGGACTAAGCATTTTAAAAATAGCAGATTAAAGATTCCGTGCTGTACCAGAGAGACTATAAATACCAAACTGGCATCTCAAAATATATTTTGTAGACAATAACTGAAGTAAGATTTTCTGTGTTAAAAATAGGAAAATTCTTTTCTAGAAAAAAAACGGAACATTCTAAAGCAGCCGTTGCTTAAAACCCAAGACACATCACAGATCATAAAACTATGTTTTTTGGATTAAAGTTAATGAAAAACATGTAAGTTAGTGTTTTTCTCTCAGATAGCTTTTATTCATATTGCTTTTGCCACAGTCCAGTTATTTATGTTAGAATTCCCCGCCTCCAGGTTCTATAGGAATCTCCCATGCCTTTGGTTTCTTTAGAGGTAATCCCTGCCTCTCATGTTCTTTGTATCTTTCTTGTGACATCTGTCAAATATGTCTTGCCTTATAGACCTTGTATACACAACTCACCTTCCATACTAAACTGTTGGTTCCTGGAGAGGGGAGGGGCAGCCTTACAGAGCTTTGCATTTCCCATAGTGCATTCCACAGAGTAAGCACTTAATATGTATTTGTTGAATCTTTTTGAATGAATGTTGTCTTTCTTAAATAACATATTTGTGCTGCTTATGTATGAGGCACTGTGCTGGACATTGAAAGGGAGGCAAAGATGTGTAATGTATTTGTAGATGCTACAAATTCTTTTTGGAATTAGATGAGAAATAAAATGGCATGGTCTACATAGGGAAGCCAGGCACATGAAAAAGTAACAGTATAAGGTATTAAAGGGTCTAGTGAGGCAAAACATGAACTTTGTTTTGAATGACTATAAGTTAATCGAATATGAAGGGGAGCAGGGTTGTCTCTTCTGATTGTACTCCTATTGCACATCCTGGAAGATAGGGTTCTTTTGAGATAGCCATCTTTACGATTTCCTGACTGGCCAGCTAGGGTTGCCAGTACTTTTGTATTTTCCCCCTTCCTGACTTCTGCTCCTTCTAAGTGGTGGGTGTCTGAGTCTGTTCCCACATGTAGTTTGATTTTGTTGATTGGTTAGTTGATTACCAAGGCACTCTATAATCAAACAGACCTTGGGAATCAGAGCCATTGAAATTGTGGTTTATGGAAAATGTAGGCTTAGTCTTAGAACTGAACCTTCTTAGGGCTAAGTGATATCTGACAACTAATACTACCGTACAAAGTTTTCAAAATGTGCCATCCTCCCATGACTGATTTTACTCTATTTCCTCAGCTTGTAATAGTTTATTTTTAAATCTTAGAACCATTCTGGTGAAAATGCTGAGCCAAGCTGGGACAGGTTACTCCTTCAACACGAAGAGAAGCCGACTACGGGAGAAACTGACTCTCTTGCATTATGATCCAATTGGTAAGATGCAGAGAAATTACTCCACAATACAAGTGCTTTCAAGGCCTGTTGCCCTTTCCAGACTGACGCTCAACATGTCTGGGCAGTTTTGTGGTCCCTTTGACTCTGTAGCATTCAGTCAGCCAGTGAGTACTGAATGTTTACTATAGTGCCAGTTACTGCCCCAGGTGTTGGGATACACCAGGACACAGTCAGGCTCAGTCTCTGCAATCTTGGTACTTACAGTCCAGTTTGGAAGGGAGAGAAAGAAAGAAAAAATGATGTTCTGCTCATTGCTTTGAGAGACACAAGCAGGATGCTGAGATATAGCATAAAGGTGGGGAAAGGCAGATTCCACCTTTATCCTATCCTTTAGGTAGGATAGATCTGGGAAAGAACCAGCCCTATAAAGAGAACAGGTGATACTGTTCAGGAAACAGAAAGAATAGAGTGTCTTTAGATGGGGAGAGAATATTCTCCTGGGATCGTCTAACAGTGGCAGGCGGTTAGGTCCAGATTTGAATGAAAGGAGTATGGTATCTATATATTAGTGCAGAAATAATATAACTATATATTATTTACATTTTGTACCCTCTGCTAAAATGCCATAATGGTAACTTTAAATGGTCTCAGTAGAGGGGCGCCTCGGTGGCTCAGTCAGTTAAACGTCTGCCTTCAGCTCAGGTCATGATCCCAAGGTCCTGGGATCGAGTTCCACTTCGGGCTCCCTGCTCAGCGGGGAGCCTGCTTCTCTCTCTGCCTGCCACTTGCCTTGCTTGTGCTGTCTCTCTTGCTAGCTCTCTCTCTGTGTCAAATAAATAAATGAAAATCTTAAAAAAAAAGTTCTCAGTAGATAGAAGTATTTGTCCAAAAGAGATAAGTGTTCCCAAGGCCAGATTGCCTGCTTACAAACAAAAGACAGCAGCTGATAGCTATTGGTAGAAGCCTAATTTTGTTTTTGGATTTCATGAGCAGATTTATATAAAGTAAACTAGCAAACAAATTATTTATTTTAAAACTTTAGGCCATTTGTTTCATTTTTGTGCCCTTGATTCTGAACAGCCTCTTGATAATTGCTTCTTAATAAGAACTGGAGCTTCTGGGTTGGTGACAGTGTAGTGACTGTGGGAGAGTGACCTGCTGGGAGAGGGCGTAGAGGCTGTGCGCCCCTTCCCCATACCTGCCCTGTGCGTCACTTCCATCTGGCTGCTCCTCAGTTACTAGTAGCTGGTATCAGGAGTTTTCTTCTTTTTTGTGTGTGTGTTATGTTATTTTTAAGTATAAAGACTATCAGTCACATCTACAGACCATGTTACCTACTGCTCTGGCTGCCAGTCTCTTGTCTGTCTTCTAAGCAATGGTGAGGCGGATACCCTTTCCACGGGGAAGAGAAATGATGGTTTGTTGCCTTTGCCAATAACAAAAATGTTGGAGAGCCAGTTGCAAAGCTCTTGTATTGGCATCTTTCATGTGAACTACATCAGAAGAACCAGGGTGTCTATCTCTGTCTGTGATCACGCCAGTTCTTCCCAGGTTAGCACCTCCGGTCGCCATACACAGATTACCAGTGTCTAACTTGATGACATCGGTCTGAATGGTGTCCTTCACCTCGATGAGGGGGTCAGGATGGCGGCCGGTGTGAGCATCATGGGTCACCAGGTGAGGGATTCCTTTTGTCCCCACAAAGATCTTCATTTCGCATAGCTTCTACGTGGCCTCCGCAGGTGTACTGTGATGAACAGCAGCGCGACCCGTGGTGTCATAGATCAGACGGAAATTCTCCCCAGTCTTGTCAGTGCTGATGACATCCATAAGAGCAGCAGGGTAGGTTATATCAGTTCGGACCTTGCCATCAGTCTTACTAAAACGCTGCAGACAGATCTTCTTGACTTCATCTCCTGTTAGGGCATGCTTAAGTCTGTTCCTTAGGAAAGTGATGAGAGGGAGACATTCTCTCAGCTTATGGGGACCAGTAGATGGGCGAGGAGCAAACACACCAGTCGGTTTATCCAGCATCCAGTGCTTTGGAGCCGTCACATGCTTCAGATGCTTCTTGGGACCACGAGCCATGGCTGCGCTGGGAACGAAAAGAGCACAGTTGAGTTGAATTGTAAGACACCCAACTGGTGATCAGAATTGAATTGGTACCGGAATCCTATTTCCCAAAATTAATCCATTATATAATGAAATACAGATACCTAACCTCATAATTAGCTTTTTTATTAACTAAGAATAAGGACTCATAGACTCTTATCTCTGGCCATGATGGTATAATAGGAACCGAATCTCCCTTCTCCCTGGAAACAACAAAAGGACAGTGTGGGCAATAAAAGTGACCCTGAAAGAAAGGAGACAAACTAGTGTTTGTGAATAATTAGACAAAATGGGAAATTCTGTCTTGTTTGCTTACCTACACAAGCCTCGTATCTTCAGATGTTACGAGCACAAGCACCTGTGCTCTCCAGGCAGTCTCTTTATAGATGAGGAATCTGATGCCAAGGATCTTAGTCAGGGACACACCGCTAAAATGTGTTACAAAGATTTGAACTCAAGACTGTCAGACTTCGGTGCCCGGGCCCTAAACCACTCTATGTAGGGACCTAGTAATGAGAGGATTCACAGGAGGCTAAAACCTACCTACCAGTGCATGACTTCTGGGCAGGCTATTAGTGCAAATCCTGGCTAACAGCTACATTCAGAGCTGCCTTCAGAGCTGCCTTCAGAGCTGGTACAGAAGGTCTCACAACCACTGTTGAACCATTCATTATGCTGCATTCATCAATGGCTAAGAAAAATAATATCACCTTCAAAAAAAAAAAAAAAGTCTGTACCAGTGTGAGGAGGCATATTAAAATGGCTCTAAGAAGCCCAGTTATAAAATTGGATAGTTTCCATTCTTTTTTTTTTTTTTAAAGATTTTATTTATTTATTTGACAGAGATGGCGAGAGAGGGAACACAAGCAGGGGGAGTGGGAGAGGGAGAAGCGGGCCTCCCCCCAAGGAGGGAGCCCGATGTGGGACTCAATCCCAGGACCCTGGAATCATGACCCGAGCCGAAGGCAGACGCTTAATGACTGAGCCACCCAGGCACCCGGATAGTTTCCATTCTTTAACAAGAATAAAATTCCCTGCTGTTTTTATGGTGTTACAATTTCTGGTCATTCTTTATCATAATATAAAAGGAATTCTAGGTTTGTACCTGATGATTGGGAGTCTGAATTTCAGGATGATACCTCATATGGCAGAAAAATTATTAGAATGATAGGGTATGTGTCAGTCCTTTTGGGTTTCTATAACCAAATACCACAGACTAGGTGGCTTATAAACAACAAATTTATTTCTGAGTTCTGGGGCCTGGGAAGTCCTAAGACCAAGGTGCCAGCATGGTGCCAGTTGCTTTCTCGGGAAGGCCCTCCTGGGTCATAGCCTGTGCCTTCTTGTGTCCTCACACAGTGGAAGGGCAAGCAAGCTTGTGGGGTCTTTTGTAATGCATTAATCCCGTTCATGAACACACCCTCATGACCAAGGCACCTCCCAGAGGCCCCACCTCTAATACCATTGTGTTTGGGGGTTAGGATTTCAACATATGAATTTGGGGCAGGGCGGGCACAAATTTTCAAACCATAGCAATATGATACTGAGTTGGTGTGATACTTTTCTCCCTCTGATTTCTTTGTATCAGCTGGTGAAAACTCAAAGTGATGAATTTTAAAGTAATTGTTTTTCTAGCATTTAGCTCCTTTAGAGTTTATTTTTAGGAACTTGTACAACATTAATGTTACTTGAATGACTTTTTATCTTTTCAGTATGAAAATGTATCAGGATTTTCATCCTTAGTATAGAAGTGTTAGGAACTTATTATTTGTCAGATTGATTTTAAGTTTTGAGATTGGGAAAGAACACAACCATGAACAATTCTGATCCTAACTGAAAGTGGGAGAGAAGACTCATATATAAATTTCAAACAGACTGCTAGAACTTTTCTGATAAGGAATGGTCTAAGCCTTGACAGCACAACTTTGTCTTTCCTGAAGAAGAGAATGTTCTGGGATAGTGGACTCTCTGGCTTTCTGCCCACCTACTGAATGCCCTGCAGACTAGCATGATGATAGTCGCCATGGGGCCTGCCCCATTGCTCAAGGTACCAAATAGCTTGGCAGTCCTCCCAGCAGATGTTACTGCAGTGAGTAAATGATTAGTTTAAGGGTAATGTTTTGTTAGTCTGCTTTTAAAGGAAATCAGGTAAGGACACAGAAAAGCTCCCAATTATTTGAGCATTCATAGTAAACTCTGGCTAGAACCAGCCTCTGTCTTTTCAAACTCCTTTTCCTCATAAAGAACTAGATGCTAATTTCCAAGGAGGAAGGATTAAAGGCTGAGGCGTAAGCTTATTAAACTTTGCTAAATGTATGAAGGCTTATAAAGAAAATGAAAACTTGTCAGTTTTGATTCCTTGGATGACTAAACAAGACAATATAGACTTTAATTGAAGCAGAATAGACTTAGGTTAGATGTAAGGAAAGAACTTGACAGATTCATTCTTGTATGAATTAGGCAGCAAATATTTTGACAGAAAATTAATTTATGTTTATGATTATGGATAGCAGTATGTCATTTCAATTCAACTGTATATCCGGCAACAACCCTGTGAGGGAGATGGAGTTACCCCCCTCCTAGGGAAGCAAACTGAAGGAAGAACATTTTGAGAAATTTGCCCAAGGACTCACAGCAGATATAAATGGTAGAGCCAGGGTTTAAACCCAATCTTTTCAACTTCAGGCTCCCTATTTTTTCTATGACTTGGAGCCAAATTAATCTTCCTATTATTACTGTTTTTTTAATTGGGGAGTACTATAAGGCATTATAGGAACCATGAAAACCTTACTGCCCGGCATCCGGTCTCTGATCTTTCATCCAGGCAATTAGTACTTTTTTAAAGATTTTATTTTTATTTATTTAGAGAGAGTACATGTGGGTGCGCGCGCATGTGCACACACGCACATTAGTTGGGGGAGTGGTAGAGGGGAAGGGATAGGGAGAGAGAATCTTGAATGGACTCTGGGCTGAGCATGGAGCCCAAAGCGGGGCTCGATCTCTGACCCTGAGATCATGACCTGAGCTGAAACCCAAGAGCTGAATGCCCAACTGACAGAGCCACCCAGGCGCCCCAGGCAATTAGTACTTTTGGTTTTGTTTCAGAGAGCTGTACTGTTACGTTATTTTCAATAATGAAATTTTGGTTATAATTTTCATTCTATTACCATACTAGAAAATCCATTATTTGGGTATTAAGCTATCTCTGGAAAGTACACGATTTGATGTGTATTTACTCCTCTAGTCAGATGGCCTTTTCTTCCTTGGTCTGCTCAGTTCTTGTTGCTTTTTTCTCTGGAGTCCAGCTCTCAGTCTGGTCTTGCTCATCTCCTGCAAGAATGTTCATTAACTAACTGGGTGAAGGCATTGAGTGTTTTCCATGTTATGTTCCTAGTTTTGTGTTTTGATTTGGATATTTCATATTGGGGGAGAAATAACCTTGTGGGGTACCAAAGATGCCACTGATCAGCTGGTGAGCCTACCCTTGATTACCTTCCCATTTTCTCTAGGTTTATCTGGCCTCGGAGATCGAGGAACTGAGTTTGCCAATCTGTTCCATTCCCATGTCAGAGGAATAGTAAAAGGAGAGAAAGGAGAGTGCTTGTGGTCTGATACGTATTTTTATTTAAAAACGGTAATGAAACTTTTAGTTTTCTGCTACAACCCATTTTTCTCTTACAGTGAAAGCAAAAGTCCTCTTTGTGGAACAGAAGAAAATACGTTCCCTCTAAACAATGGATTGAAAACGAATTTGATTTATAAATGAGAATACTGAGGGTGGGATACTGATTCAGAAATTCTGCAGCGTGTAATAAAAGAAGAGGAAATGGCACGGAATCACTGCCTCCTGTGATTTGAAGGCCATTGTGAAGAAAAACAATGTACTGAAAGAAAGTTCTTCATATTAGGACATAGATCATTGCATCACATTTATTTATCTTTCTGGATATTTTTATAGCCCTTAATAAAAAATATTAAAATAGCCTGTGCTATTGTCTCTTGGTGATGTTTTCCCCCACTCTTTGAAATAAAAAACAACTACATTACTGAAGAATAACCATTGTTCGTATAAAAGAAAGTTTCCATAATGAAACTTATGCAAGACTTTCCAGTCTGCTCCTCTTTGTACCTCATAGGAAAGGCAGAGTCACTCTATAGAGTGATCTTGAAAAAACTCCCCTGAAATAACAGAGAGGGTAATGGTGAACAGGAATAAGGGGGCCAGCCTTGTAACACAAAAGAAACTATGAGAACTTCTGTTTTGTGCTTATATAATTAGGAAAAATGCCATTGGTCCATATTCTCAAACTCCGGTCACTGAGTAGATACTGAAGCAGTATCTAGGAGTTTCTAGGAATGCTTTGGACTCCCTTTATCTTCTAGATTTCCTTTTTTTTTTTTAAAGAAGAGCTATAGTGTATTTCCATAGAGCCACGGCTAGGGCTTTTGGGGCATGGTCCCACACAGCCAACCAGTGGAAATTCCACTAATCCCTAATGTTCAGGTGAGGTAAGACTGCCTTACCCAGATCCAGATACTTTCTCACTCAAGCTATTTCCTACAGATTTTCAGAAATACTCAGTTTTCTCCTTATCACATTTCTGACAATGTAAGAAGGATCAGCTTTTATTTTGAGTTCTGCTGGTTCATATCCTACACCGTTTAAAGCATTTATATAGAATGATGGTGTGCCTACCATGGCCTCAAGAAGGATGAAACCAATGTTTCAAGGTAACATTGGTGTTACCAAGGTGTTCCCTCTCCATGGCCCAGTCTGTCTATGGAGGACATGCAAGCGTAGCTTTCTGAAGTTGGAATTAGATGTAGACAGTTGTTGAGTTTCGGGGGCTTGTGGCATTAGAGTCGATCAGCTATTTTCTGGCATCTGTTGTTAAAGCTTTGGTTCAAAGCAATAATAGGTGAGATCTTGGCTATTTTTCGGTTGAAACTATGCATAGTGGTTTTGGGTTACAAGAAAAATCCTTCACCTGTCCCAGCTAAGCCTGCTATAAAGGGTCTGTGACATAAATGAGTCGCCATTGAAAAAAGCAAAACAACAACTTAAAATCTGGCTTAACAAATGACTTGTCTATTCAGCACATGAGCTGAATGTGGCCCACAGGTGGTGTTTACATTTTTCAAAAATCAATTGCTGATACTTAAACATTGAAAAAATTTCAATAAACATCCAAACTTCTGGCTTCTCTCACAAAACAGAAGCTTTGACAACACCAGCACCAAATATCAACTGTCTCTCTTAGGAACAGCTTGAACAGTCCAATTCATGTGACCCTTCCCTTATTTAACATTCTCTGCTCGGACTCTAGACATTGTTGTCCACAAGCCCTGCCCTGTGGTGGACGTACGGCATTCAGGATCTGTTGGCAAGTGAGTTTGCTGGCTCCTCATCGTGGTAATGTTTGTACAGGTCCTGGTCATGGCATCCTTAATTTTGGGTGGCTCTTGTAAATACATGAAAAGTGAAGAAATCATTATTATAAAAGAGTAAAGGCTGAGGATGACTTCACAAATGAACATATTTGCAAAGAAAGGAGAAGAGGCTATTTGATAGTAAGCTGCTAGCTAAGAGAGGCCACCTCCCTCCCCCAAGTACGTTTATTTTAGGGTTAGTAGCAATCAAAACAGATCAAGTGGCAGGTCTTTTTTGTATGGATAAGAAGACTGTGTTCCTGCAGCCCGGACACTGACTGCCGCGATGAAATTGGATCTCTTGAGCATTTCTTCCAAGGACAGACTTGGGTAGTAAGCCAGGTAGAAGGCCAAAGCCCCCACAAAACTGTCACCAGCGCCCTGTAATTGAAAGCACAGTTGTGGAGATAAGCATGTAATCACCTGGTACCCAGAGTGTATGTTAGAAATATTTAAGTACACCTTTTATTTTAGAAGAATTTTAGATTTACATAAAAAGTAAAAGGATAGTACACACAGGTTTCCATATACCCCACATCCAGTTCTGGTAATGTCTGGTAACCTCTGGTAATGAATGAAACAGTGATATTGATTGAACTCCATACTTTATTCGGATTTCACTAGTTTTGCTTAATGTCCTTTTTTTCTGTCCCAGGATCTCCTCCAGGATTCCTTATTACATTTAGTTGTCATGTCTCCTTAGACTCCTGGGGGCTGTGACAATTTCTTGGACATTCTTTGTTTTTGATGACCTTGATAGTTTTGAGGGCTGGTCAGATATTTTGTAGACTGTGCCTCAGTTGGGATCTCTTTTCCTCATAGACTGTGGTTGTGGTTTTTGGGAAGTGAAGTGTCATTCTCTCATCATATATATCAAGGGTACATCCTGGCAACAGGACTTGCCACTGATAATGTTAATCTCAATTACTCAGCTAAGGCAGTCTTTGCCAGGTTTTTCCACTGTAAAGTTACTTTCCTCCCTCTTCATACTCTACTCTTTGGAAGCAAGTCACTCAGTGTAGTCCACACTTAAGGGGTGGGGCAGAGTATTATTTGGAATTCTCCATGGGAAATTTGTCTCCCCCGCCCCCTCATTTATTCAGTCACCTAATTATATCTGAAGGAACTCATGGGTTTTTGAAATTTTTTAAATTTATTCTTTGGGCTATAATCCAGTACTACATTATTTCATTGCTCAAATCCTTCCAGCTTTGGCCATAGGGAGCTCTTTCAGTTGGCTCCTGTATCCCTTTGACATACCCCCATTGTTTTGTTTGTTGAGTGCTTTACTTTCTGGGATATTATAAGATGCTCCGGGTTCATCTTGTATATTCTCTGCTTTAGTCCTGGAATTAACTGTTTCTCCATTAAAATGGATGCAGAATGTGGTGAGAGTTATCCAGATATTGTTTTCAAACTAACTATAGGGACACAACAGTTTCTTTCCCTTTTCTCTGAAGCTCCAAATGTCTGAGTGGGTAAAGTACATATATGGATCCATAGAAATAGAAAACACCAAAGAAAGTCTGTTGACTTCCGTCTCAGGTGGGGTAACACATGTGTTCACCTAACAAAAATCATTCTGGTATTTAATAGCTTTCAGATTCATTTTCTAGTTTTTCCCAGTTTGTTGTTCCTTACACCCAAGGATTTCATAACAAATCTTGAGGCTATACTTCAGGCTTCATGAAGAGCCTTGCCATGCAAGATTGTTCCAGTTGCAACTGAAGTATTTAAGGAGCTATATGCCCAGGACAGTGATGGGTGCTAGCAAAGGGGAGAATCCATTGTGGATTCAACGCTAAGTAGTATGGCAGAGTTTATAAATGCTGTTGGATCCTCAGAGTTTGAAGGCAGCCTCCCTGAAGAAGGGAGTTCTTATAGATGAGGCAGATTATAGAGAAGGAAGGCCTCAAGGAACAAAGACACAGGAGGAGGAAGGAACAGAGTGAGCTCATGAGACAGTGAATGGCTTTAAGGAGAATGACATTTCCCCTTGTTTACACAGATAAAGCAGTCAGTATTACACTTGCCAGGGAGTCATAGTAACGCAGGTGTGAATTCAACACTTTCCTTCCTCCCATAAATGTCTTCTAAGTGCCCAAAATGTGTCAGGCACCATGCTAGATGCTTTGCAATTGTTTATATCAGTCTTTCCTGACGGAAACAATGGAGAGAGAGAGACAGGGCTCTTGCCCTCCATTAGTTTACAGCAGAGCAATGCAACAGTGCTAATATTTGGTTTTCTTATTTACAAGGAATGGGGGCAGTATTTTTTCCTTTATGTATCTTTTATATTATTGCTTAAGCTTACTATAAGCTTATATTTTTCCAAAAAAAAACAATAAAAATATTTCATGAATAGTTAAGTCATGTTTCTGTACCTCTCTCACCTTTAACTTGTGGCCTGACCAGTGCAAAGGCACAGGGCTGAGGGGAAACATTCTAGCATCACTGCCAGAAATCAGTTTTATATATTCCTGTTGGCTAGTGGGGTATTTAGCTGCAGACAAGATTTTTAAGAAAGTATAAAAAGCATTGTACTTATATCTGAAAGACTATTGAAATTGCTTCCCATTATAGCCAGAGCCAGGGAAACAGTGTTTGGTGGAACTGTGTGTGCTGGAAGCATTATTTAGGCAACAGTGATTTTCACAACTTGATTTCCTTTCATTCTTAGTGCTATACACTGTTCGTAGAGACTGCAAAGATGCAGAAAAAAAGAAATTCAAGAAAAGAAAGACAAAACAGATATTTCTCATTAACTTAGATGCAAAAACCTTAAAAAGATTTAGTAAACTCGTGTGTGTGTGTGTGTGTGTGTGTGTGTGTGTGTGTGTGCGCGCGTGTGCACGCATCTCATTCCTGATAGGGTTTGTCCCAGGAATGTAAGATTAGTTTAACTTTAAAACTAATTACAATTAGGGGCGCCTGGGTGGTTCAGTCATTAAGTGTCTGCCTTCGGCTCAGGTCATGATCCCAGAGTCCTGGGATCGGGCCCTGCATCAGGCTCCCTGCTCTGCAGGAAGCCTGCTTCTCCCTCTCCCACTCCCGCTGCTTCTGTTCCCTCTCTCACTGTCTCTCTCTGTCAAATAAATAAAATCTTAAAAAAAAACTAATTACATTTAAAACTAACTAACATTAAAAAAATCGGGTGCCTGGGTGGCTTAGTTGTTAAGCGTCTGCCTTCGGTTCAGGTCGTGATCCCAGGGTCCTGGGATCGAGCCCTGCATCGGGCTCCCTGCTCGGCGGGAGGCCTGCTTCTCCCTCTCCCACTCCCCCTGCTTGTGTTCCCTCTCTTGCTGTCTCTGTTAAAAAATAAAAAATCTTTAAAAAAAAAACAATTTAGTTCACTAAATTGAAAAACCTTCTGATAATTTTAGTAGAAGCAGAAAAAGCATTTGAAAAAATTCTACATCCATTTATAATAAAAATTCAGCAAACTTGAAATAGAAGGTATAACTTGATCTTCTCGATAAAGAGCATTTATTAAAAATCCACAGTTAGCATCATACTTAATGAGAAAGATTGAATGATTTTTCCCTTGATACTGGAAACAAATCAAGGATGTCTGTACTCATTACTTCTATTTGACATCATACTGGATTGCTGTCCAGTGCAATAAGAAAAGAAAAAAAAAAGGCAAGCAAAAAGGAATAAGTAAAACTCTTTCTTAGCTGATGGCATAAAAAATCCTAAGAAATCCAGCAAAAAAGCTACTAGAAATAGTAGATTTAGCAAGGTCACAGGACACAAAGTCAATATAAAAAAATCAACTGTATTTGTGTATAGTAGCAATGAACAGTAAAAAAATCTAAATTATCAAAACATACACTATATTAGCATAAAAATATGAAGTATTTAGGATTAAATGAATGTGCAATATGAATGAATATGTGCAAGATTTATACACTCTTACTATGGAAAGTAAAAGAGATTAATGAAAACAAATAAATGGTGAAATAAACCATTTTCATGAATTGGGAAACTCAATATTGTTGAGTTTACAGTAACATGTAAATTCTTCCTAAACTGATGTATAGATTTAGTGTAATTCCAATAAAAAATCCCAGTTAGAAATTTTTAGAAATTGGTAAACTGATTTCTAAAATTTACATGGAAATACAAAGGACCTAGAATAGATAAAACAATTTTGAAAAAGAACAAAGTTGGAGGATGTAAACTGATTTCAAGACTTACCATAAGATATAGTAATCAGACAGTGAGATATTGATGGAAAGATAGACACTGTAGATCACTTCAACAGAAAGAGTCTGCGAATAGACCAGCAACTTATTTTTAACAAGGTAATTCAGTGGAGGGAAGGATAGCTTTTTCAACAAATGATGAAGAAATGGATATCCATATGGAAAAACATGATACTTCACACCATACACAAAAATTAACTCCAAATGGGCCACAGACCCAAATATAAGGGTTAAAACAACAAAACACCTAGAAGAAAATAGAGGAGAAAATCTTTGTAACCCTGTGTTAGGGAGATTTCTTCAAATGCACAAAATACTTAAAAAAACTGATAAATTTGACTTTATCAAAATTTAAAACTTTTGTCCTTTATTTTATTTTTTTTTAGATTTTATTTATTTATTTGAGAGAGAGAGAATGAGAGATAGAGAGCACGAGAGGGAAGAGCGTCAGAGGGAGGAGCAGACTCCCCGCTGAGCAGGGAGCCCGATGTGGGACTCGATCCCGGGACTCCAGGATCATGACCTGAGCCGAAGGCAGTCGCTTAACCAACTGAGCCACCCAGGCGCCCTAAAACTTTTGTCCTTTAAAAGAATGCCAAAAGACAAGCCATGAACTGGGAGAAAATATTTGTAAAACATATATCTGATGGGGCACCTGGGTGGCTCATTTGGTTAAGTGTCTGATTTTGGTTCAGGTCATGATCTCAGAGTTCTGGGATTGAGCCCTGTGTCAGGCTCCATGCTCAGCAGGAAGTCTGCTTGTCTTCTGCCCTCTCCCTCTACCCGCCCCCTGCTCATTCTCTCTCTCTCTCTCTCTCTCTCTCAAATAAATAATTAGTAAAATCTTAAACCCATATATCTGATAAAGCATTCTTAATATTTCAATAGTGCAACCCCAAAAGACAAAAACCACATTAAAAATAGGCAAAAGATTTGGACAGAGACTTCATCAAAGAAGACAGACAATGGCAAATAAGTATATAAAAAGATGCTCAACATCATTAAACATAAGGTAAGTGCAGATTAAAAACACACTGAGATAATCCTACATACCCATTAGGAAGGCTAAATTAAACAGGTTGAAAATACTGACTTTTGTTCCAGTGGAATAATTGAAATTCTTATCTGTTGTGGGACTGCAAAATGATACAGACACTTTGGAAAATAGTTTTGGCAGTTCCTTACATTATTCAGCAAACACTTATCATATAGCTTAGCAGTTCTCCTCTTAGGTATTAATGTAAGAGGAATAGAAACATATGCACATAAAGATTTACATGAATGTTTATAGGAGCTTTATAATCGCTCCAAGTTGGAAACGATCCAGATGTCCTTGAATGGATGAATGTGGTACATCCATAGAGTGGAACACTACTTAGCAACAGAAAGGAACAAATTGCTTATACAACATGGATGAATCTCAAAAGCATTATCTTAAGTGAAAGAAGCCAGACACAAAAGACTACATACTATCTTGTATGATTTCATTTATATGAAATTCTAGAAAAGTCAAAAGTATATCAACAAAAAACAGACCAGGGGCTGGAGAATATCAACTCCACAGGGGCTGCACAGGGAACTTTCTGGAGTGATAGAAAGTTCTGTAATTATGATTGGTGGTTAAATTACTCTACGTTTGTCAAAACTCATTGAATCATACACTTAAAATGGGTGAAATAAAGCTGATTTTTATATAGGCAGGGGTAGGGGGCACTGAGTCATGCAGGAGTGTAATGTAAGTTTTGAAAACTTTGGGAATATTTAAGTGCCCTCAGCTTATTGCTGATTAAAGTGTATGGTTGGGATAATTTTTGAGACTTACTATGGGCCAGGGTTAATTAAGTGTTATGATTGGCATATAGGAGCCTATCAGGCCTTGTATCGTGAGCCCTAATTCCACCTCTGTTCTTCTACTATAGATGTTTCTCTTCTAGCAGTGGGGCTTTGAAGTCAGATTTGTATTTGAATCTTGGCTTTGCCACTTACTAGCTCTGTGACATTGGGAAAACTAATGTAAATTCTCTGTGAGTTTTCTCATAAATAATGAAACGATTAACATCTCATAGGGCTTTTGTGAATCTGTCATTCCTTGCTTCTCGGTTTTCTTACCCAAATTCAGTTCACAGAACTCATGTTGCTACTTTAACTTAACCTTCCACCTTACTCCCCTATTCATTCCATCGCCCTGCCCTTCCCCCACCCCACTTTGTGCTGCCACACCCCCCTTTCTGTGTCCAGTCATGGAGTATGATCATGCCACTCTTCTTTACCTTCTCATGTCTTCCTGCAAAACCCCTTTCCTTTCTTTAGAAGGGCCCTTGTGTCTTCTCAGGGTATCTCATTTTGCCACAGCTACTTAAAAACACTTTGATAACCTATGTGTTCAACCAAAAATCCCATAAAAAGTTCAGTTTTCTATTTCCTGTCTGCCTTTGTAAATAGTGGGCTGTAGGTTAAATGTTCAAGTCCACATAAAAAAGAAATCTGCATGCAATGAGGCTGACCCATCCGCAAATGCAGAAGTGATGTATAGAAGGGATGGATAAGAGGACGCCTGGGTGGCTCAGTCGGTTAAGCAACCGCCTTCAGCTCAGGTCATGATCCTGGAGTCCTGGGATCGAGTCCCACATTGGGCTCCCTGCTCAGCGGGGAGTCTGCTTCTCCCTCTGACCCTCTTCCCTCTTGTGCTGTCTATCTCTCATTCTCTCTCTCTCAAATAAATAAATAAAATCTTTAAAAAAAAAAGAAGGGATGGATAAGAGATAAGTTGTTAACAATCACTTGAAAATTTATTATGAATCCACGAGTCTGGGGTGCCTGGGTGGTGCAGTCAGTTAAGCATCTGACTCTTGGTTTTGGCTCAGGTCGTGATCTTGGGGTTGTGAGATCGAGCCCCAAGTCAGGTTCTGTGCTCAGTGTGGAGTCTACTTGGGACTCCCTCACCCTCCGCCCCTCTCCCACCCCTGAATAAATAAATCTTTAAAAAAAAATGAACTCACAAGTCTATACTCATTTTAAATAGATAAATGAAAAAATAATGTAGAAGGGAAAACTCTTCTTAAAGTAGAATGCCAATTAGTAAATACAGAAGTTTGAAAAATCACTTGTAGCCATCATAGTAATAACTGATTCAGGCAAGAATCATCAGTGGATGCTTTTAAAACTGCTGGATAGGGCGCCTGGGTGGCTCAGTTGGTTAAGTGACTGCCTTCAGCTCAGGTCATGATCCTGGAGTCCCGGGATCGAGCCCCGCATTGGGTTCCCTGCTCAGCAGGGAGTCTGCTTCTCCCTCTGACCCTCTTCCCTCTCGTGCTTTCTATCTCTCACTCAAATAAATAAATAAAATCTTAAAAAAAAAAACTGCTGGATAAAGGTTTGAGGAGGATACAATATTTACAAGTTTGAAAGTATCTCCATAGAGATGGCCTATTCATAACAGATAAACAGTCTAGTGGAGAAACCTGGGGGACACCACCTTGACCAAGTGAGCAACATACCAATAATGAGACAAACTGCCATCGCATGCTCCCCGATGTGGGGCCTTCACAAGGACATAATGTCACTTATGTGGTATTCCTGCCTAAAACATGTTACCTAACTCAGATCATGGGGAAGCACTGGACAAACCTAAATGGAGAAAAATTCTATGAAAGAGTGAAGTTGTGATTTTCAAAAAAATATCAATATCATGAAAGACAAGGCTGAGGACCTGTTTCCTATTAAAGGAGCTAAAAGAGCATGACAATTAAATGCCATAGAAACTCTTGGATTGCCTTCTGGACCAAAAAAATTATAAAAAACACTTTTGAGACATTATTGGACTGTGCATAAAAGATTACTTCAGTGTTAAATTTCCTGAATTTGATAATTATATTGTAGTTTTGTTATGTCCTTGTTCTCAGGCGCTCTCTCCCGAAGTAGTAAGAGGTGAAGAGTCATGATGTCTGCACTTACTACTCTCAAATGACTCATCCAAAAAAAAAGTATATTTATGTACTTTGAGAGGCAGCAGTAAAACAAATGTGGCAAAATGCTAATCACTGGTGAAACTCTGCAGGGTATATAGGCCTATAACAACTTGTCTGTCAGTTTTACATAGGTAAGCAAACATTTTAAAGTTTTTAATACAAGTTGATTTTCAAAACTTCTTTAGTAAAATTTCATCAGTCACTTTGTGAATTTACAAAGGAGCCAATTTCAGCCTCTGAATAATTTTCCTTTCTCTTAATTCAATTAAGAGGACATCGACTCCAAGCCGGGGTGAACTGAACTGAGAGATGCTCCTTCCTGCATTGAGAATCCCCGTCTCGTCATCTCATCCAGACAGTTTCCCTTTCAGCGAAGGACTAGGCAGTGACATCCACCTGCAGGTCGAGGGGACTGGGAGGAACTTTCTGGCCATGACAGTGACTGCAGAAAAACTGAGGTCTGAGATGTTAGAGGCAGCACCGTGGTGATAGCATCCGGTGCCTCATGCCAGGACCACAACTGGGCTGTTGTTTCAACCAAGAACCAAGAACCTTGACTGAGGTGACAGCCATATGTTGAAGTCTTATGAGAGGTCAGAAATCTTGTCCAGTTCTTTCCTTGACTCCTCAGAGTTACACAACCCTTATACAATACATGCTCATATACAATATATGCTCAGTCAAGGACTGCCGATGGGCCACTTCTCAGCTGCCCCTGGTCTCAGGTGGGGTGGTGGTGGTGGTGGGTGTTGCATGTTCTTCTTTACAAAGAGGGCGGCCGTTGGGTCTCTGACTCCCAAAACACAGAGAAGTAGGAAAGCCCTTGGAGGATAGGGGCCATCGACTCAGAACCATGAAGACCAGCAAAGGCTACCTTGAAAATCACATTATATCCCATGATGGAAAAGCTCTTTGAAATTTAAGCATGAAAGGTGTGGACAAGTAAGTACTACTTAACCTTCACAGAGGAGTGGAAGGGTAAGGAAGGGAGCGAACATTTATTGTTTGCTCTGCATCAGGAAGCAGCAAAGCTGGGTGCTTACATACACACCCAAGACATTTCTTCTTTACAACCACAGCCCCCTGACCCCTGCAACC